ATTGGTTAGGGAACACTATCTCCATTGGTATGAGATCTTTTGGGGAAACTAAAAGAAAAGCCATGAGAGCTTATGCTTAAAGTGGACAATATCGACCATTGTAGAGGTCCGTGATTCCTAACATGTGGTTACGTAATAAACTTGAATTAGTAGAATAAGTAACTAATTTATGGCGCAACTATAGGAGAATTATTAGTAGTTGTCAAATTATGGACTAGGTGTGGTGGTTCTCACTTGAGGACAAAGTTTAGAAAACTAGTTAGTACTTTTCCATTATAAATATTCATGAGATGTATGTTTTTTAAACAACAACAAAGAAAATTAAAAAGCGTGCTTATGGTTCCTCTATCCAAAAAGCTCTCTCTCCCTTCAAGTTTTTCTTCCTACTTTAGTTGTTGTTTTGACATATTTCATTCGTGGGCTACATCCAACATTTGGTATCAGAGCTAGGATTCCCAAAAAAATGTCGTCACCACACAAAGTTGCAGGAGAAGATATGACATCAATGAAAAGCGGAAAGGAGAGGAGTGTAACGCTCCAGTACTCATTACTCACGAAGAGTAACTACACAACATGGACGATAAAGATGTGTGTCAACTTACAGGCACAAGGCATATGGGATGCCATTGAGCATGATGACATTGAGGAGCGTAAGGATAGGATGACTCTTACTGCTATCTACCAAGCAATTCTAGAGGACATCCTTCTCATGTTAGCAGAGAAGAACTCGACAAAGGCAGTGTGGGAGACATTGCAAACAATGCATGTGGGTGTGGAACATGTCAAGAAAGTAAAGGTGCAAACCTTGAGGAGTGAGTTCGAGGCTATACGCATGAAGGATGGTGAATCAATAGAGGACTTTACCATGAAGTTGATGATGATCATTAGTGGAATCCATTCATTAGGCAACAAAGTGGAGGAGATCTCCATCGTCAAGAAGTTCCATCGAGCTTGTCCCCCCGAGATTCATGCAGATTGTTACCTCCATCGAGCTGCTCATTGACCTCCAGAACAGGTCATTTGAGTTGGTTGTTGTTCGAGGTTCATGAGGAGATACTTTGTCGCTGCGAAGACAAAGAAGAGGAGAAACACCTCTCAGTCACTCATGAGGAGTGGCTCGCACGAACGAAAAATGATGCAGGTGACTCTTCCTTTTTAGGTACGAGGGGACGTGGTAACCATAACAAGAAAAATAAAGGTCATGGATGTGGTCGCAGACATGGTGGTAGAGGACGCTGTGACAATACCTTACAAACCCACGACAATGCCAACCCCTCGAAGGACAAGAGTATGATCAAGTACTACTCTTCTGAAAAAATATGGGCACTATGCAGTAGAGTGCCGCAAGAAGAAGCATAATGACGAGGCAAACCTCACATTTATGTAGGATCAAGAGCCTGCATTGATGTTGGCCTAGAAGATGTTAAACTTGTTGATGCTCAATGAAGAGAAGGTTATGGCAAACCTTCTCACAAAAAGAGAAGACTGAGTGCAGACCAATATGTGGTACTTTAATAACGGAGCAAGCAACCACATGACCAAAGATCGAACAAAGTTCAAAGAGCTTGATGAGAAGCTCATTGGAAACGTGAAGTTTGGCGATGGATAAATTATGCCAATCGAAGGCAAATGATCCATCTTGTTCCGGTGTAAGAACGGTGACCAATGTCTACTAATCAAGGTATATTATATCCCAAGCTTGAAGAGTAATATTATCCGTCTTTGTTTAAATGACAGAAGAAGGAAATAGAGTAGAGTTAGCATATTCGTTCCTCAAGATGTTTGACAGAAATAGAACCTTGTTGGTGAACGTAAAACGGTTGTATAACTCCCTGTACAAGATACTAGTGAAAACCAGCCAACCCACCTCTCTAGTGACGTCACTCGCAGGCCTAGCTTGGCCATGACATGCAAGACTTGGGCATGTGAACTTTCAGACGCTCAAAATGATGGGGGACAAGAAGATGGCTATGAGACTATCCAAAATCACACCCAATCCAGCTATGTGAAAGTTGTTTAGTCTCCAAACAAGCAAGACTGTCATTTCCCAACTCAAACTAGTTTTTGTGCTGAGCGACACTACAACTAGCTACATGCAGATTTGCATGGCCCGATCACCTCATCATCGATTGCTGGTAACAATTATTTTATCTTACTTGTTGATGGTTATAGCCATTGGATGTGGGTGTACACCCTAAGAAAAAAGAGGCATTATGTGTGTTTTGTTGAAATGTGATTCAAAGTGTTCAGATATGATTCAAAATATTCAAAATGGAGATATGATTTAAAGTAGTTGAGATATGATTTAAAGTATTCAAACTACCAAGATTTTAAGAAATTTTAGTAGATTAGTAGATTTGAGTTTATCTAGATTTCCATAATTTACTATTTCAGGTCGAGTGTATAGACCTATAAATACTGGAATTGTGTAACCCTTTAAGAATTGAGTGAGAAAACGATAATAAAGCACTACAGCTTTGATTTATTTTATCTATTCCTATCTCTTTCGATATCTCTTTTCCCAACAAATTTGGTATCAGAGCCAAGTTCCTTCGACACGAGGGTGAGTGATTATTTTCTTTCACAAAACAAAAATGGCAGTAGTTGACTTTTCTTCCTCTGCATCATTGTTCCCAATCTTTAATGGTGAGAAATATGAGTGGTGAAGCATCAAGATGAAGATCTTTCTCAGATCGCACGAGTTGTGGGACTTGGATGATCACGGGTTTGTCTATGTATTAGAACCCCCAATAAAAACAATGTCAAGGCTCTATTCATTATTCAACAAGCAGTTCATGAGACTATTTTTTCATGAATTGCAGCAGCAACCACATCAAAGCAAGCACGGTCAATTCTACAGAAGGAGTTTCTAGGAGATTCAAAGGTCATGACAGTGAAATTGCAATCTCTAAGATGTGATTTTGAAACTCTGCTCATGACGAATGGCGAATCAATTGCTGATTTTTTGTCAAGAGCAATGGCAATAGTGAGTCAGATGCGTACCTATGGAGAGAAAATCTTAGACGAAACAATTGTTACAAAGGTGTTAAGAAGCTCGACTCCAAAGTTTGACCATGTGGTGGCTGCCATATAAGAAGCTAAGGATCTATCCATACTCTTCGTTGATGAACTGTTGGGCTCGCTTCAGGCTCATGAGGTAAGAATCAATAGAGCATCAGAAAGGAACGAAAAAAAAGGCACTACAAGTGAAGGAGACAACCAACAACGAAAATAACGAAAGAGAAAATATTCATTTAGTAGGTAGAAGTCGTGGAAAAGGAAGATTTCGCAGATTCCAAGGTGGTTGTGATAACAGGGGTAGATGGAGAAATGATGGACAGAGACAATTCAATGAACATAGAAATGTCATACAATGTTACCATGCAGAAGGTATGGGCAAACAAAATTTGATTGTTGGTATAAGAATCAATGAATGAATTTTGCAGTAGAGAATGAAGAAGAAGAAGAAAAGCTGTTTATGGCGTGCATGGATACTAATCCAAAAAAAGGTGACTTATGGTTTGTTGATAGCGGATGCTCGAACCATATGACAGGCACCAAATCTTATTCAAAGAGCTTGATGAGACGCAAAAAATTAAGGTGCAACTTGGAAATACAAAAGAGATGCAAGTTGAAGGAAAAGATACAGTGAAAGTCGAAACCAGTCATGGTAAGATAAAACAATTAGATAATGTTCAACTTGTACCTAATTTAGGGTACAATTTATTGTGTGTTGGACAAATGATGACCAGAGGACATTCCGTTCTATTTGATGACAACACATGTGTCATTACACCTAAGAAATCAGGCCATAAAGTTCAAATTGTCATGACTTCAAATAAGATGTTTCCACTAGATGTTTCTAACATGGAGGATTTTGCTCTTACTGCTAGCACGAAAGATGACTCAACATTATAGCATCTCAGATATGGACATCTTCATATGAACGGCCTGAAAATACTCAGAGATAAAGGTATAGTTTTCGGATTACCAAGAATTGACTCAACTAATTTATGTGAAGGATGCATTTATGGCAAGCAGACTAGGAAGTCCTTTCCTGTTGGAAAAGCTAAAAGAGCTTCACATTATCTAGAACTAATTCATGCTGATTTATGTGGGCCACTACAAACAAAGTCCTTGGGTGGGAGTATATACTTTTTATTATTCATTGATGACTATAGTCGCATGAGTTGGGTTTACTTCCTACAACATGAGTTAGAAACTTTTCAGAAGTTCTAGATTTTTAAAGCTATGGTGGAGAACCAAAGTGGCTGTCACATTAAAGTTCTTCACACAGACAGAGGTGGCGAGTTCATATCTAAAGAGTTCAATCTGTTTTGTGAAGAAGAGGGCATCCAAAGGGAGTTAACAGTTCTCTACACTCCAGAACAAAATGGAATCGCTGAACAAAAAAATCAAACTATTGTGGAGATGGCAAGAAGTATGTTACAAGCAAGGAAACTTCCAAACCAATTTTGGGCAGAAGTTGTAGCAACATCTTATTATCTATTAAACCTCTCACCAACAAAGGCGGTTATGAATCGAACTCCTTATGAAGCATGGCATGGAAGGAAACCAACGGTGAGTCATTTGCGAATCTTTGGTTGTGTTACTTATGCTTTGAAACATCCTCAAATTCGTCAAAAGCTTGATGAAAAATGAAGCATGGCATGAAATGAAACCATCGGTAAGTTATTTACGAATCTTTGGTTGTGTTGCTTATGCTTTGAAACATCCTCAAATTCGTCAAAAGCTTGATGAAAAATCTGAAAAATGCATTTTCATTGGCTATTGTACTCAATCAAAGGCATATAAATTATACACAACCCCCTTCGTGAAAAGAATTTAGTTAGAAGGGATGTAATATTTAATGAAAACGTGAGTTGGGATGGGAGTAAAGAATATGAGCCGCAATAGATTACATTTGAAGTTTCCCCAAATGAAGAGACGGTTAAATAAAGACTATGGTTTCCTTAGATTTCCTTAGATTTCGTTACGCTATGGTTTCTTCGAGGTGGTGCCTTGAGGAGCTGAGTAAGATCTTTGAATGCCACGACCGGGTTGGGATGACCGTGTTGCCCATCTTTTATAGAGTGGATCCTTCTGATGTTCGGAACCAGACAGGAACATTTGCTGAAGCTTTTGCTAAACATCAACACAGATTTGGAGAACATAACCCCAACATCCAAAAATGGAGGCACCTTCTTACAAAGCTCGCCAACCTCAGGGCTTGGCCTTCCGAACCTTGGTAACAAAATCAATTTTATCCTCTCTTTTTTTTTTTTTTTTTTCCTTCATTAATTATAATTGATATTGTTAAGATAAATATAATTTTTTTTTTAGAAAAAATTAACATAGGTTAAGTATGGTTGATCGTTGGTAAAGTTTACGGGTATGATGTTTAAGCGAGTTCATAGAAATTTATAGAATTACTGTAGCAGGTTGGTCGGTCATTCAGTCTTTCATTCCCAAATCGACTAATTTAGAGAATGATCACGAGAGTTTATAATCAAAGAATACTATCTCCATCGGGTGAGACCTTTCGGAGAAGCCCAAAGCAAATCCACGAGAGTTTAGGCTCAAAGTAGACAATATCATACTATTGTGGAGATTCGTGATTCCTAACAAGACAAAACTGTAGGTAGCCAAAATCCTATCACCAAACAATACAGTGGACCGAGTCAACCAACCAATCAAAGTAAATGGACTCCATAGAATAATAAATTTTCTAATTGTTTATATTCATAATTAATTTTCAAGTTATTTATTATGTATACAATTTAAAACTTAAAAATTAAAAAATAAAGGAATCATTGACAGTTTGACTTATAAATTAAAAATAATAATTATAATAAACCAAAATCTTAAATATAACAAGTTGTGTCCCATGCAAGAACTACAAAAGTCGTGAGTTAGGAATCATTATTTTCTAAATTTTTATGGATACGGATTTTAAAAATACTTGAAAATTTTAAAATTTAAAATTATTTAGTAATCATTATTTAGTATCTATAAAAATTAAAAAATATTAGTATATTTTTATTTTATATTGGAATGTTTATATGACTTGATAACAATTGACTATCCTATCTAAATAATAAAGTTTGGGTTGGGTTGGATTTATTTTTCAATTTAGGTTAAGTTACATTTTTTTAAAGATCGAAAAATTTGAGTTGATTCATAGGTTAACATTTTTTTTTTGTTCGGTTGTAAGGACTGGGACTAGATCGACTCTAGAAAGGACGGGCAAATTTTCTCGCGAAATAAAACAAATAGCATTTAAAATATAATATACATTATACGATTATTATATAAAAATAGCGTTGGTTCATACATAAGTAGTTAAAACACAAAATAATTTACAAACACAAAAACATTTAAAACAAAAGGGTGTGGAGGATGACTAATGAGACTTGTCTATGACACCCACTCTAGAGTCTGCTCCCAACCTCGACCAACTCTTTGTTTACCTCAAAAACATGGAAAACATTGAATGAATATAAAGACTCGTTCTTTTACTATTCTGGCTTTTGTTGGAAATACTTAGGCCCTTTAGTTCTGTTCTTAACTTGTGACATCTTATCATGATCATACCTGAGAACCTTGGTCCTTGGATTCTGAAGCCTTGCTTCTGGTCTAAGGGTCATAGTGCTAAAGTTCTAGGTTCTTATTCTTAGAACTTGGATCTTGATCCATGTTCTAGTTCTTAATTGTTATCTTCTTCTTGGTTACTTTCTAGGTTATTGTTTTGTTCTTGGTTCGTTCTCCAAAACACTCCCCCTACGTCTAAGGCTTCATGCGTTTCAAGTGACATAGTCTCAATCTGTATCTAGGGTTTGTCCTCCGATACAGTCTGAAAACCTAGGCCGAAGGCTTCATGTATTTCAAGAGGCATAGTCTGAATATATATGCTCAAGGTTTCTTAAGTTCCAAGCGATGTAGTCTAAATCATGATCATGTTGTACCACGGGAGGTCTAAGAGGTTCTAAATTCATGGCTAAGACAATTAACTCCTTTCTTATAGTTTTTCATAATGTGACCCTAAATTATTCCCCATGAAAGATCGAAAAGGTCACATGATTTTGGTGCAAAATGTTAGGTTATGGAGCCTGATGCTTATTTATAGTTTGGTAAAGCTATATATGGTAAATAGCTATATATAGTAGATGGTTAAATCGGGTAAAGCTATATATAGTAAATAGCTATATATAGTAGATGTTAAATCTGGTAAAGCTATATATAGTAAACTGAACTATATATATATCCTGTCCGGTAAAGCTTTGAAGATGTACTTTTCTATTCTCTGTAATTCTCTCTGTACATACGTGAAGTCATCAATACAAAAAAAAAAAAAAAAAAAAAAAAAAAAAAAAAAAAAAAAAAAAAAAAAAAAAAAAA